AGCAATGCAGCGATTGGCTGGCGGCAAGACAGCAACGTAATGTCATTTCATTAAAAAAAGACACCTGACGAAAAAAATGACACATTTCTGGACATTTATAAGGAAAGAGCCAAGCGAACAAAACTACATAAATGTTATAGCCTAATAGATAAATGAAATGTGCACTGTTTTTAATTTATTTGTAATTTTTTTTACAATGAGTCCCAATTATTTATATTCATGATTTCTAGTATTTGTACAGGCTTTACATTTTTATTTCAATGTTGTATTTAGCAATTTGTTTAATTTTATCTTTGAAGCAGATTTCTTATGCGACAGCATTAATTAAAGTTTCTTGAAGATCAAGTTATCTGCATCTCCTGCGCTCCATTAAGCCACTCCCATAATAGCTGTCAGCACTCAAATTAATGCACGCTCAGATGAACTGTATAGCATGTGTGTTAGACTCCAAGCCAATTATAAAGTAATTATTTAATCACTAATATATCTTTCAATGAGTAAAACTGGCTGTGTCTATATAGTATTAAAGACTACACAACATTTTTATATTATTTTCAAATTAATTTTTAAATGATTATTATTTTAAATTATTGTTCCTGGACCAACAGGGTACTCTTGTAATAAAGTAGCGGTGGCTGGGATATATTTTAAGTATCAATTCTGCTTAAAAAAAAAAAGTTATCTAATCCTGTTTACATGAAATAAACCTGCTCCCGAGCCGGTTTAAGCTTACGGACTTGTTGCTATGACAGCAAGTCCAGGATGAGCTTCAAAGAACCAAATGATCCAAGATCAAGCGAAATCGTCTACAATCAAATCCAGCTAACTGAGTTAGCGACGTACGAAGAACAGGCCCCAGGCGCCACCAATAAATAGCTTCTCTGCTAGATGTATTTATTTATTTTTTATTATTTATTTTATCTATATTCTAATTATTGCTGCTTCTATTAAATTACTAGAGCTGTTGGGGTTGCGACGTCTGTCTCTCTCTTTTTCTGCATGTTTTTTTTTTAGCATTTTTGAATGTATTTTGAATGTTTATCTCACAATCAGAGATAAGAATTAACTAGCACCGGTTTAATAGCTTTTTGCTCCCTAAAGCTGTTGCTGACAGGGTTGTTCCCTTTATCTATATTGATCTCGTTGGCATATTATAATCCACATGGATAGATGGCTCCTTAGAGTTTCTGCTTCTGGCACAGATATGCTAATGTTTGTAGCAGCTAGGCGTTAGACACACTGCAGGGAATGGCCTAAATTAAACCTAATATACACCCCTCCAGCACAGCCCTTGGGTTGTTAAAATGCCTGTGTAATTTACACTGAAATAAGGGGCTCATGTATGCAAGAGAGGGGAGTGTGTACATGCATGATTTAGGATACAGCCTTCTTACACAAGGTTTGCTGGTTTAATCCTTGGAAGGGGCGGCCAATTAAATGGAGAACAGTAGATTTAAGAAATTAAGCACAGATTGTTTCATGAAAGTATTTTTAGTTATGTTGTTTAAATGCATACTGTAACATTATGACTCCCCACAATTATGTTCATAGAGCAGATTGATGAATTTGTTGACTTGTTGCTAGGTTCATGTCCAATGAGAGACTATTGCCAATATATGAGAATGTGCTTCCAACATAGTGTGCAACACTTTGTAGAGGGCTTTAATATGAAAATTCCCCTTTCCGCAAAACAAGGTGCATAGAAATTGTTTACTAAATCTGAAAGGGTTCCCCAGAAGAGTTTACATTTACATTCACACATTTGACATACACTTTTAGGCTTGTTACAACGGAACATTCTCTTGACAGTTAATGTCATTGTCAGGAACTATTTTTTTTAGCGGAAGGATAGCATTTAATGAATTTATTTTTAAAAAGTAACATATCAATACATACATTTTTGGATTTAATATTTGTATTGTGTGGTAACTGTTTTTATAAAAGCAATAAGATACTCAAGGTGTGCTGTATTGTGAATAAGTCACGATTGAAAGGATTGCAGGCTCTCCGCTTCATGCCGTGCCTAACAACACCCTTCAGCTGTGACTTATTCACAATACAGCACGGCCTCTAGTACCTTATTCCTTACATATCACACCTTGGAATGACTGACCAATCAGAAACAAGTATTCCAGAGAGCCATGCAATAATTAGCTATAAAAGAGGTGCTTTGGTGCTTTTGTTGTGATGGTGATTCATTCAAAGGAGATGAATTAAGAGACTTGAAATTGTTTATAATTATATAATTGGAATTTAACTTTAAAAATAACTTTTCTGTTTTAATACATTTTTAAATGTCATTTATGCCTTTAATGGCAAAGCTGAATTTTCAGCATCATTACTCCAGTCTTCAGTGTCACATGATCCTTCAGAAATCATTCAGATATGCTGATTTGCTGCTCAGGAAACATTTCTTATTCTCAGTGTTAAAATGTGTCTATGTGTGGCCAACAAGCCTTTAGTCTGTTCTTGGTTTTGATGTGCAAACTAAGAAATAATGTAACCACCTTCACCTAATAAAAATCTCTGAACTGTCATTCAGATGAAGGGCATTTTAAGCCCTGATGCACTTCATGAATGCAGCCCACTGTCTGTCTCACATAGAGCAAGACGCTTACAGATCAAGAGTTATCGCATTTCACAGGCAGTTTATTTATTCCATAATTTCCCTGACGTTCTTGTTTACCCCCAAGGAGATGTTCATGCGGCCGATAAAACTGGCATTTATTTCTTTGCCCACAGCGTGGATTGATTCTGAGGTCGTCTGTTTGTGATTGGATTATACATGAAGGAGTAGTTATTCCATCAGTTTTGCTCTGTTATGTCTGGTGAATCTGGCCTCTTTATCATTCTCACCTTCCACTTCATTACTACTTTGTATTCTCAGGACTGCCATTGTTAGGTCTCTGATTAAAATGAAGAAAACAACGAACTGAATCGAAAACTGAATGGAATGAGTGTATCGAATCACTTCAGTGAGATAAAGGTGACAGCCTTCACCTATCCAAGGAGCCTGGCATTACTCCAGTGCAGAGCAGACGGACTATGAGTTAGTGCTTTTCCCTCAGGGTTCGACAGAATAGTAGCATGATCTACTGCCTGCCGAGAGAGAATAGAGGTAGCAGGAGGGGTTAGAGAGTTACGGATCATTCTAGCTTTAAAATCTGATTGGATGAGGTGTGTTCGAAGCTGCTGTGGAATAGCCATTATAACAGTTGCTTGGCAACTATAAACGTCTGCAATTAGGCTAATGGACTGTATTACTTAAACAATATTTCCATTATTCTAATTGGTACTATAATTAAATGTGCTTATTTGTTGAACAGTGCTGTCTGTATCAAATGAATCTGGTCAAATCACTGTAAAGCATGGCCTTGAGTGGCTTGTTGCATCAATACGCAGAAATGTACGAAATGTAATCTCGGCCATTCACAAATACTGCTGAAACGTTCTTTGAATGGTTGCATAGTGGTCATACAATGAATGCATTATAAATGTATCTACCTCTAAATGACATGTAGAAACCAAAATAAATGTGCTTGGTCACTTTAGATGTCGATCAAATGGAGTCTTACTGTCTGGGTGGGTGGTTCTTGGCCAGAAAGAGTCCTGTTCTACAAGACTACAAGAAATGTAATAGACTCCAATAGGGGTTCAAATTTAGAAGTGCACACATATATATATATATATATATATATCCAGAAAGAGTCCTGTTCTACAAGACTACAAGAAATGTAATAGACTCCAATAGGGGTTCAAATTTAGAAGTGCACACACATATATATATATATATATATATATATATGCTTGGCTTAATAAAACTTGAGCAGAGCCTAGTCAGAGGGTGTATTATGAGAGGAGCTATGGTAGGACAACTAGTCGTGGATTGGGCACTGGTAGATGCTTTCCTGCATAAGCAGTAGGGTTGGGCCGATAGACGATCCCACCATCCATCGCCGATGGCTGACAGATATCACGATGTTGTGCCAGCATTGTGATTCCCACACCATCTGCGTGCAGCCCAATTTTTGTGACCGCGCAGACGGTCCGCATACAACAGCTCAGCTCTGTTGAGACCGAGCGAGTCAAGTAGGTGATCCATCACATCCATCGCAATGTTTCACTGTAGACATCATCTAATGCCAATTTGGTAGACATCGCCCAACCCTAAAGGCAGTTTACCCATTAAACATTGCCACACACCTCTTTTGATTTGAACAAATCAGTGTGAAGTAGTGGTCGATCAGTAGCCTATAGGTTTGTTTAATTACCAATAACGATATCTACTGTATGTGTTTATGATATGATAGAATTTAATGAATGCAGGACCTATACATAATAAATGTTTATAATAATTATAATAATAGCAATAACAGTAATAACAACAACAATAATGATAATAATAATAATAGAAAAATTGTAAATTATCATTTATTATTATTATTAAAACAATAAAATATGATGCACACGTGACAAGAACAACAATATTAGTAATTATACTAATTGAAAAAATACAATATACATTTTATATTTATATTTTTTTTTTTGTTGTCATTTAATTTGTGCAAAACAACATTTTATTTTAATAAAAAAATTATTTTAAAAATTATATTTTTTTTACTGACCCAATGGTAAATCAATATTTCTGTTAATCTGCCAAGCAGGCATTTTTCATTTGTATGATTTGTTCATTTATCAGCCAAATGTATCCTAAATTCCTAATGTTTGACTGATTATTCAGTCTGTCACTAGAGTAACTGCACACATTTGATTTTACTATTCTGTCAGTGATCAGGTGTAAGGTTCCGAAGTTTTCTGAGGTTTGCATGAATTTCTATGTTGCAAAAATGTTGCAGGGATCAACATGGATGTTGTTCAGACAAAAAAAAAAAAAAGGCTGAACAACTACAGGCTGAAAATGGCTAATTCAGACCCGGTCTTTTGAGCTTTAGCATTCTAGATGATAATCCTTCTTCTGTTTCTCTCGTACCCTCTCTCAGGTGTCCGTGGTTAACCAAGGCCATCTCCTCTGTTGTGCCTCTATACAATGGCATCGTCTTCCTATTTGTGTTGGCCAACTTCAGCATGGCCACCTTCATGGATCCTGGAGTCTTTCCCAGAGGTATGATCCGGTCATTGTTTAGGTTTCTCAATCCATTCTCTGTTTCAGATGTCTGGAGATCCAACAGTAGGTCCATGATAAGAATGTTCAGAAAATTGCGAGTCGCACACAATATTGATGTGAATGTTGAAATTTCTGTTTCCCAGCGGATGAGGACGAAGACAAAGACGATGATTTCCGAGCTCCGCTTTATAAAAACGTGGAGATAAAGGGAATTCAGGTGCGGATGAAGTGGTGTGCCACGTGCCACTTCTACAGACCTCCTCGCTGCTCACACTGCAGCGTGTGTGACAACTGTGTGGAGGTGAGACGCATACAAACACACAGACCAACATTCCTGCGTTATTTAAAATCATCGCAATGCAAGCGCTCACACACACACACATACTTTTCTTCTCACTGTAGGAGTTTGACCACCACTGCCCATGGGTGAACAACTGCATTGGCCGGAGGAATTATCGTTACTTCTTCTTGTTTCTGCTGTCTCTAAGTGTTCACATGGTGGGCGTGTTTTCCTTTGGCCTGCTGTTCATCTTACACCACCTTGAGAGGCTGAGTGCGCTCCACACCACTGTGACGTATCCTTCCATGAGAAGCAATTCCCTGTTGTGAATAACAAATAGCAACTATGATGAAAGCTCATTTAGTTGTATTTAATGAATGTGTGGCTATACACTACTGTTCAGAAGTAAGATTCTTCTTTAAAGAAATGGGTAATTTTATTGAGCAAGCATGCATTAAGTGTAATGACAATAAAGACATTTATGTTACAGATTATTTCTATTTCAAATAAATACTTTTCGATAACGTATCAAAGCAGTAAAAACATCTGACAACAATGAAATCATAAATTTTAGTTCTTCAGAAGGTTCAGCCTAAAAACTAGGTTTTTTTTTTGTTGTTGTTTTTAAGCATAATTTGAGCTGAAGGCAGTGTTTATTATTTTTTTAATTAGCTTTTATTTTTATATATTTTTAGTTTTCATTTAAATTTTACTTAAAGGGGTCATAGGATTCCCATTTTCCACAAGTTGATATGATTCTTTAGGGTCTTAATGAAAAGTCTGTAACTGTTACAAAACCTGGTATTGTCATCGCACATCACGGTTCTGTCGGTCAAGGACAGTTGTTTTCCACTCTCTTCAGTTTGCAGTAAGTAGGATTCCCCTCTCTCTCTCTCTCTGTTCTCAGGTGACAGGAAAGTTCCGAGGAGGAGTGAATCCATTCACTCGGGATTGCTGTGGTAATGTGAAACACGTCTTATGCAGTCCACTTGCTCCTAGGTAAAGAAAAAACTGACTTCCACACACAGATATATTCATTTCTGTAATCAGTGAGAGTCTCAAATACACACACGTACCAGAAATGTGTGAAAGTGAGTCGTAACACCAGGCACGGTGTGTTTCCACGGCCCCTGACAGCTGGCTGATCTATCTTTTGCTCATTTTTGAACAGACAGTTGGGTGTTTCATTTCACTTTAAATGAATTTTCATTAGATTCTGTTATTTTACATTTGCAAAACAGACAGGATTTAATGAACATTACGCTTTAGCAAATGTTACAAAAGACCTATGAAGTACCAACCAAAATTGAAAGATTTTAGTCCCCATGGAACGGCAATCGCAGCTGATGTCCATATAGTGACATACATTAAATAACCCAGCTGCTGTGATGTCTGTTAATCAAAAAACAAAAGAAAAAAAAGAGGAAATCAATAACTTTTGTAGTTTTAAGGATTCATCTATATTTAATTTAGAATTTAGTGTTTGATAACTTTAATTTCTGTATATTTCCTACTTGCTGAAGGGCACAGGGTTAATGTGAAGGGTTTATAGGGTTTATGTGAAGATTGTTTGAAGTTCACTTAAATTATAAGTTGTTGTTTTTTAAAGTCTAATAAATGTTAAAATTGATAGCTCCCAATTATATTGTAATGTTGAATGGCTATAATCCATGGTTAAATATTAGGGCAAAAAAAAAACTATTTCCTAGAG